TACCGTCCTTTTTGGTTGCTAGCACAACCGGAAAAGACCAGGGGCTGGACGATTCCATCACCTTGCCCTGCTGTAGGAGGTTAGTGACTTGTCGTTCTATCTCATCATGTTTCCACGGTGAAGTTCGCCGGGGTTGAATTCGGATTGGAAGAGCATTGCCCGTATCGATTCTGTGCTGGACCATGTGCGTGGTGCCTAAGTCCCCGTCTGAAATTGAGAACACATGCTGGTAATTGAATAGCAACCCCTGCAGTCTCTCAGTTTCACTGTCAGTTAAATTATCTGTGCTTCTCTCAAGTAGTTCCTGCAAGGCCTTCGGTAGAGTCATATCGACTGCTCCTTGTGACACATGTTCATTTATTACTCTAGCTTGGCCCATAGCACCGTCATGGTTCTCTTGATTAAGCTCTAGTGAGGTGACATCAGTAACTGGCTTAGCAAGGGCAATCACAGTCTCAGCAGCCAAATGAAACACTTCATTAGAAACATTGAAAACACGTAAGGGGACCACCCTGTCCTCCGTAACATCAACCAGAGTCCTTGCAACATAAAGTCCCTTTTGTTGCAAATGTGAGTTCAGACATGGTTCTAACAATCGCGTGCCTAATTGAGACGACTGTGGGTCTAAGTTAAATGAACGCTTGTGAACAAGGACTGGGACAATCACCTCAGTGTTAGGTTCAATCATGGTTGACCGTCGAACCATACATCTGGAACTAAGGGGTTGGTTCTTGAAATCAGAACAATCAAACACTTCGCCATTAATTGACAGTTGGTTTGTCGCAATGTCAATACGGGAATCAACTTGTGACAGGAAGTCCATACCCAAAATGCCCTCATCCTCAATCTCAGCAACAATTACATGCATTTGAAACTCGCTGTTACCAAGGCGCATGACAACATGTCCCACACCATAAGTTTTCGCTTGTTGACCATTAGCAAGAGCAATGGCAGAATTTTCTGAACTCAAACTGAACTTAACGCTAGCAGGTAAAGAATTATAAACCTCGAACGACAAAACTGAACGTGCGGCACCAGTGTCTATCAACCACATGACACGAGATCCTCCAAGAAAGCCTGGCAAGTAAAGGCCTCGTAACTTTTCATTAACATGTGACCGTTCCATGGGTGTATTAGGACATGTCATTTCCTGGTTTGGCAATTGCTGAGAGAATGCATTGTTCACATCAGTACCACTTGTGGGGCCAACATCACTCGCATTTAGGCATCCCCCGGGCCCGTGGGCGACACCCTGCGGCCGTTTCCCGAGCCCGGGTTGGCTCGGTCAAGTGACTTGTACTTTGGGCAGTTACGACGATAATGGCCAAATTCTTTACAATTCCAGCATTGAACATTGCGGTTGGAGTAACGTGAAGGAGGTAATCGCTGTTGGCTACCAGAGGTGTTCAAAGAGAGCGACTTGGAGAGCTGCTGTATCTGCTCAACTAACTGTTGCATAGCAACTTGCTGAGTCTCCTGACGTTGTTGTTGCACTCGAATGTCAGAACGTAACATATCCAGCTGAGCTTTAAGCAAATCAGGCTCTTTATCAACTTCATCCACAGAGCGAACATGAAGAGGGCTTCTCCGCTCATCTCCATCCACGAGACGAAACGCCTCAAGTTCACAAGCCAGCGACAGGGCGTCATCTAAGGTGCGAGGTTTATCTCTACGTAATTTAAGCCTGTCGTCTCGATCCTTGAGTGCATCAATGAAGTGCTGGACGGCAAATCTTTCTTGAGTGACCGGAGATAAGTCCTGATAAGCTAAACTTGACAGAGAGCGAATATCTGCAGCAAGAGCTTGAACACTTTCGTTTTCCAGTTGGCGACGGTTATGAAGGCGTACTTGGTGTAACTCACGCTGCTTTTCAACACCAAACCGAAGCTCCAATTTTTCAACAATTTTGGCGTAAGTTCGACAATCGCTATCAGACATACCATTAAGCACCTTTTGGGCTTCTCCTCGAAGGCCTGCAGCAAGAAATAGAGCGGCTTCTTCTTGGTTCCAACCATTAACAACAGAGCAACGCTCAAAGTGTTTCAAATAATCACGTAGCGACTGAGTACCATCATAATCCGCAGGATTTTTAATAGGCTTGCTTAACTTCGGGCGGTGTGTAAACAAATCAGTGGAGTAAGTATCCTGTTGACTCTCCGATGCGAACGGGTTTTTGGAGCGAAATCGGTGACTTGCACTGCTATCATGTACTGACGGATCCAGCGGCGATGCAAACAAGCTCGCTGATAGAAATCGCCGACCTGGACTCTCCACATGCATTGATGAGTCTACAGATGAAACAGACTTTGATGTAAATGGGTTTCCCGCTTTAAAAGGATTAGCTGGCGTTGAACAACTCATTCCTTTAAATCCTGAATCCACAAGTGAGTTTTCCGCCATTGCAAACGGGCGAGACCACGATAGCAAACACACGAAGAGACTTTGGATGAAAAACAACGGAGGGCGATGAAACTCAGTCACGCAAACCATGAAAATATCGCCATTGAACACATATATCCGTGAAGTTCGTCTTTGTTTACCGCTGCCACCAGTGTAACGCCACGATTCCCAGTTAAAACACGGCGTTAAGAGAACAACACATGTTTAATCTACTACTCACTCGTCTTACAATCATTTCTTCGCACATGGTTATTACGCCATCTCACGTGACTTACTTAGAGGGGTACCCGCGGGGATTGCCTCGCGCTACAGTATCGTTAAATTTATCTTCTACATAATAAGAACATCCGCTGTTGATATTGAAATGTATGTCAGGGTCCAGATCATCAGACCGAACTAAAAACCGTTTAAAATCACAAGTCAATGGATTTATAGATAAGTTTGATAGTCTCCCAGGATCGAAACGAACAGGTCCATTTCTGAATTCACAAATCACCGCAGCAAATTCATTATCATCCAAGTGACTAAACGGTAAAGCATTTAGGGACATATTATTGTTACTAAGTGGATAATAAGGGAGTAAGTAAATAAATAAAATAACTTAGCTGGACAACTCCTCACTACTCCTCTTCTCTACGTCTGTCCTTTATAACAGGTCTGTCCAACACAAAATATGCCGTTTTCCCAGCTCTCTTGGCCTCCTTGAGTTTATCAAGCTTTACTTTCCGCTTTTCCATAGTCTGGTTTGCGAGGTCTTCACTCAAAAACATACCAGGAGGTTTCATCCTTCGGGCAGCTCTAAGAATTTCATCCTTTTGCTTCCAATCACATAAACGACACACTGTGGTTCTTGGGCGTGTGTTGTTGTTGTTCTTCTTCTTCTCTTCTCCTCCTTTCTTCTTCCTGCCTATCTTCTTCCCTACCTAGGGCTATGGCTTGATCGAGCCAGTCCCCATCGGCTTCCATGAGTTCTGAAAAAGATATAGATAGATAATAGGCAATAGCTAATCTAGTTCATTACAGAAATGTAATGTAAATATGTGAAAATAAGACGTTATTTTCACTTGTAAAGATGCGAAAGCTCACCTGGTATTTCATTGGTGTTCACCGTTAATCCTTTATTAAGCTTATTTATTTCAAGCCCATTTGAGGGGGCTTACTAGAGACGGGGGGCTTATTTGAGAGGGGGGGCTATTTAATTTAGAAACCACGATGGTATCAGTTCTCCATGAAGAACTAGAATACAAAGTGGAAAAGCTCAAGTACGAGAAGTTTTAGGTCATGCAGCCCGGGATCAGAATGATCAAAATCGAACTTACAGTTGCTAAATAAACCATCCGAGATCAGTCTGCACAAAGTTTTACCATCATGATGTATTAATACAGTCTGTCATTTATTAGCGCAGAGTTATTTATTAGGGGAGGGGAGGGAGAACTCGGTTAAAAGATGTTTATTCATGGAAGGAAAGTGACGTAAGATGCCCCGCTAGATCAAGGAGATAGCTTTTTGTTGTTGTTTCCGATAAGTACGTGGACGTGGTTCCTCTTTTATCGCCTGCCATTTACAGGCAAGAAAAGTTACGCTAAAAAGCAGCTGTTGTCGACTTTACTTTACTTAACACAAGTTTGGATTTGTGTTTACTCTTTGGTCGTCTTACAACTTTGTTTCGATTTTGAAGCCGGAGTGTGGCTATAGGCATCAGATAATGAAAATTCACGCGCGTATTTCAGTAACATAGTCGCGAGAGCTCGCGTATAAGGTGGCTTTGTAGTTCTGTACTTGGTAAGGAAATTTATTTCTTTGCAGAAAGGAAGATACTATCCCCAAGAAAAGCAATTTTCCAGCACAGCAATGTCAGGAATTTACGTGCTTCAACGGTCTACACGGTCTACACGGTCTACCATCATATGAGATAAATATAATAATATATTCTATTTCTAATTGTTGCAGAATGGTAGACTGTGGATGATGGTAGACCGTCAGAAAATAGAAATTAACATAGCACAGAACTTTTTCTGCTCTGTAGCTCTAACGGACTTTAATAACCATCTTATTCTCACCCTAGTAGATGAAAAAAACTGAACGGTTTTACTTTAACAGCGATGTTGAAAAATAAGTCACGCGGTATACCGATTACATAACGCCATTGTATATCAAATGTCATTGCGTTACAGATACAGGGGTGAAAATGACGGTTTGGCAGCTTTATTCGCAACTATAGTATCTCTAAATACCAAGAAAAGGAAAATTATGCTGTTATTATACATTCGCGCTTCTCAGAGTTTAATTACAACGCCGAAACTTTAAGCTATGTCACGGTAGATAATGGCGCATGCGTTACAAGTAAAGGCCTCGTGACTTTTCATTAACATGTGACCGTTCCATGGGTGTATTAGGACATGTCATTTCCTGGTTTGGCAATTGTTGAGAGAATGCATTGTTCACATCAGTACCACTTGTGGGGCCAACATCACTCGCATTTAGGCATCCCCCTGGCCCGTGGGCGACACCCTGCGGCCGTTCCCCGAGCCCGGGTTGGCTCGGTCAAGTGACTTGTATTTTGGGCAGTTACGACGATAATGGCCAAATTCTTTACAATTCTAGCATTGAACATTGCGGTTGGAGTAACGTGAAGGAGGTAATCGCTGTTGGCTACCAGAGGTGTTCAAAGAGAGCGACTTGGAGAGCTGCGGTATCTGCTCAACTAACTGTTGCATAGCAACTTGCTGAGTCTCCTGACGTTGTTGTTGCACTCGAATGTCAGAACGTAACATATCCAGCTGAGCTTTAAGCAAATCAGGCTCTTTATCAACTTCATCCACAGAGCGAACATGAAGAGGGCTTCTCCGCTCGTCTCCATCCACGAGACGAAACGCCTCAAGTTCACAAGCCAGCGACAGGGCGTCATCTAAGGTGCGAGGTTTATCTCTACGTAATTTAAGCCTGTCGTCTCGATCCTTGAGTGCATCAATGAAGTGCTGGACGGCAAATCTTTCTTGAGTGACCGGAGATAAGTCCTGATAAGCTAAACTTGACAGAGAGCGAATATCTGCAGCAAGAGCTTGAACACTTTCGTTTTCCAGTTGGCGACGGTTATGAAGGCGTACTTGGTGTAACTCACGCTGCTTTTCAACACCAAACCGAAGCTCCAATTTTTCAACAATTTTGGCGTAAGTTCGACAATCGCTATCAGACATACCATTAAGCACCTTTTGGGCTTCTCCTCGAAGGCCTGCAGCAAGAAATAGAGCGGCTTCTTCTTGGTTCCAACCATTAACAACAGAGCAACGCTCAAAGTGTTTCAAATAATCACGTAGCGACTGAGTACCATCATAATCCGCAGGATTTTTAATAGGCTTGCTTAACTTCGGGCGGTGTGTAAACAAATCAGTGGAGTAAGTATCCTGTTGACTCTCCGATGCGAACGGGTTTTTGGAGCGAAATCAGTGACTTGCACTGCTATCATGTACTGACGGATCCAGCGGCGATGCAAACAAGCTCGCTGATAGAAATCGCCGACCTGGACTCTCCACATGCATTGATGAGTCTACAGATGAAGCAGACTTTGATGTAAATGGGTTTTCCGCTTTAAAAGGATTAGCTGGCGTTGAACAACTCATTCCTTTAAATCCTGAATCCACAAGTGAGTTTTCCGCCATTGCAAACGGGCGAGACCACGATAGCAAACACACGAAGAGACTTTGGATGAAAAACAAAGGAGGGCGATGAAACTCAGTCACGCAAACCATGAAAATATCGCCATTAAACACATATATCCGTGAAGTTCGTCTTTGTTTACCGCTGCCACCAGTGTAACGCCACGATTCCCAGTTAAAACACGGCGTTAAGAGAACAACACATGTTTAATCTACTACTCACTCGTCTTACAATCATTTCTTCGCACATGGTTATTACGCCATCTCACGTGACTTACTTAGAGGGGTACCCGCGGGGATTGCCTCGCGCTACAGTATCGTTAAATTTATCTTCTACATAATAAGAACATCCGCCGTTGATATTGAAATGTATGTCAGGGTCCAGATCATCAGACCGAACTAAAAACCATTTAAAATCACAAGTCAATGGATTTATAGATAAGTTTGATAGTCTCCCAGGATCGAAACGAACAGGTCCATTTCTGAATTCACAAATCACCGCAGCAAATTCATTATCATCCAAGTGACTAAACGGTAAAGCATTTAGGGACATATTATTGTTACTAAGTGGATAATAAGGGAGTAAGTAAATAAATAAAATAACTTAGCTGGACAACTCCTCACTACTCCTCTTCTCTACGTCTGTCCTTTATAACAGGTCTGTCCAACACAAAATATGCCGTTTTCCCAGCTCTCTTGGCCTCCTTGAGTTTATCAAGCTTTACTTTCCGCTTTTCCATAGTCTGGTTTGCGAGGTCTTCACTCAAAAACATACCAGGAGGTTTCATCCTTCGGGCAGCTCTAAGAATTTCATCCTTTTGCTTCCAATCACATAAACGACACACTGTGGTTCTTGGGCGTGTGTTGTTGTTGTTCTTCTTCTTCTCTTCTCCTCCTTTCTTCTTCCTGCCTATCTTCTTCCCTACCTAGGGCTATGGCTTGATCGAGCCAGTCCCCATCGGCTTCCATGAGTTCTGAAAAAGATATAGATAGATAATAGGCAATAGCTAATCTAGTTCATTACAGAAATGTAATGTAAATATGTGAAAATAAGACGTTATTTTCACTTGTAAAGATGCGAAAGCTCACCTGGTATTTCATTGGTGTTCACCGTTAATCCTTTATTAAGCTTATTTATTTCAAGCCCATTTGAGGGGGCTTACTAGAGACGGGGGGCTTATTTGAGAGGGGGGGCTATTTAATTTAGAAACCACGATGGTATCAGTTCTCCATGAAGAACTAGAATACAAAGTGGAAAAGCTCAAGTACGAGAAGTTTTAGGTCATGCAGCCCGGGATCAGAATGATCAAAATCGAACTTACAGTTGCTAAATAAACCATCCGAGATCAGTCTGCACAAAGTTTTACCATCATGATGTATTAATACAGTCTGTCATTTATTAGCGCAGAGTTATTTATTAGGGGAGGGGAGGGTGGCTTATTAACTTTCTTTTCCTGAAAAGGGCGGGGGGGCTTATTAAAGGGAGATCATCATCATCTAGAAAGAGAAAAGATCATAATATTGAAAGATCTCAGGGAATGGTTGAAAACTGAGGAAATTAAGAAACATGAGGTTTTCCGTTCATCCTCACCAAGCTCAGGCTCCACTGCATCAGTTGATTGCACTGATTCAAGTCTGTCAGAAGAAGAACAGTAATTCATGTGCATGTACATTGGATTGTTTATCTCTTAATTTGTTCAGTTTGCTCTGTGCTTTGTAAAAGTGATTATATTACCTTCTTTCCTGGAAGGGTGATTTTGTTGACTCTAATATAGCAAATGATGATTATAAAATAACAATATAAGAGTTTCCCACCTTGGATTTTTGTTGTTGGCAATGTTGGACTTTAACATGGATTACCAAAATTGGTAACATAACATGTGACCTTCCAACCTTGGATTGTTATGGTTCCCATGTTGGAGTTTTACATAGATGACCAAACTTGGTAGTCTGAAATATGACCTTTCAACCTTGGAATTTTACTTTTCCTATGTTGGACTATTACGTAGGTTACCAACATTGGTAGAACAAATATGACATTCCAACCTTGGATTTTTATTTTTTGACTTGCCAAGGTTGGAAAGTGTATCTCTTTATCCAATGTTGGAGTTTTCATTGATTTCCCAATATTGTACCAATAAATAACCAATTCATTTCCAAATTTGGAATCTCTCAATTTTTTCCTGTGTGTAAGAATCCATGGCTTAAGTGAATAGGCAGCGTCACCTATGAAATGAGAGTTACCGGGAAATTGCAGGTCTCTGTTTCTCTCAGCATCAACAAACAGTGGGGAATTTGTAAACACCTGGGCATCATGGACAGACCCTGGAAAGCGACAGAAAACATCTATAAACTTCATGTCCATGTCACACACAACCTGTAGCTGTACAGAATGAAAACTCTTTCTGTTTATGTACCGTTCTGGGTCTTTCAAGGGGGCTTGAATTGGGATATGGGTACTGTCAATAGCGCCCAGTATACTGGGGAATCCCCTTTGTTCTTCAAACTTTTGAATGGTGTTTCTTGCGTCGTTTCCTTCTGGGAGATGAATAAATCTCTGTGCCAAGTTGTTCGTTATAGCTGTACAGACTCCCATGTATACTTCATAAAAAGTTGATCGAGAAATGTCAAATCGATCCGATACCGATATAATACACTCGGGGTTTGCTACCATCCAAATGGTAATGAGGATTTGCTTCCTAAGTTCAACTGGTGCTGTGCCTCCATGGTCATGGGCTTGATAAGGGATCATCTCCAGACAAACGCGAAGCAAACCTTCAAGAAAAGCAAAAGTCTCTCTACTCATCCGAAAATGACATCGAAAACAATCTGGACTATAACTTGGTACTACCACTTCGAAATATCCAACGATTCTTACTCAATGTAAGGGAAACCTGCCCTTTCCAAGGACAGCAAGGAGCAGAGCGTCATCTGAGTCACTATTGCCCATTTCCTGGACTTTTGTTCAATCATGCTGTCAAGCAATTCTTCAAAAAGAAGAACTGTCCACGTGGCCATCAGTGCCCTCTGTTCATCCACCATTTTGAGTGCGCCAATGCGTACGCATAATTAGCACAAGATAGTCCCCTGTTCACAAGAACAGTTTAGCGAATCCTTTTTCAGATTTCCCAATCAAACGACAAAAAGGGAAATCTAACAAATCCGGATTTGGATTTCTTAATTGAAATCCACCCTGAGGACGGATTTCTCAGAGGTGAAATCCGTTTTCAGATTTCGCCTTTGATTGGGAAATCCGGATTTAGATTATGAAAATGAAAAAAAAATGAAAATGAACGCACCCTTAGTGAATGAACGCACCCTTAGTGAAGCTAACTTAAATCCTTGTTTTGAAGGAATGTGATTGTTAATAATGGATCTCTGCTGATCCAAAATTGATTGAGTCGATATGCAATTATTGTCGTTATTGATATGAGATTCATAACATTCAAGACGATCGGCATTTGAGGAAATAGTTCAATGATGATTAGCTTCCTTAGCTGCTAAACATGATGCAAAGTTTTTATATAATAGTTCATTACCTTGTTTGGTTAAATGTAAACCACCTCTGTTTAAGGCTTCCTCCGAGATGTTGGAGTGGCAAACCAAAGACCATTGATGCTGCTTGGAATATTTAATGAGGAGCATGTTAACAGATTTTAATGATTCGTAGTGGGCATCTTTGCGCCTAGTTAACTCAGATAATACAACCTCAGCTCCACAGGTAGATTGAATGGTTTTGACAAGATCCACAATAGCATTTGCAATATCATCCGGTGCCTTGGATTTTAAATCATTTGTCCCGATATGTAAACAAATCCTATCTGGAGCATTATCGATCATTGCCTGGATATAAAACTTCATGTCTTGTGTCGTGGCTCCGCTAAAAGACTTCACGACAACTCGTTGGTTGGTTTGGAGGGGCCTTATTTGAGAGGGGGAGCGTAATAGAGGATTCACGGTATATGGCAGGCAGACTGAACTGCACTAATCATTATGCCTCCTCTTTTAATTTCGGAGACCAAAACTGAGACTTATGAGATGCTATTATGGGCAGTGCTCTTCTTTGTCACTCTGAAGGTACTCACTTAGAATATAGTAGGGTGGGCTATGGTGGAAAACGGGCGAACAACATTCTGGCACGGGGTTATATTATTTTACAGTGGAAGTTGACTATATCTCAACAGCTCTCATATTTTTTTTTAAGTTGAATAAAAATAGTCTGTCAATTTTTTTGATGACTCATGGAGAAAGGTTAATTATTTTTTCCAAATGGTAGAAGTCCATTCAGTAACTGGTGTACCTTTCCCATCTGAAATTTTGTAATGGTGTTCATCACCCCCCAATCTTAACAATTTTTTTATAATTTGTAGTTAAAAAAATATCTATATTCTGATGTTTTGTTCAAGTCTGGCAAATACCAAAAATAATCACAGCATCCAACAAAAAAATCAAATCTTTTGTCTATACCTGGCCTTCCGCCATCTGCTGCTTGTTCCATTATGATGTTTGATCTAGACAGACAGAAAATACACAAGGTGTTAAGCCGCTTTTAAAATGTACTTGAATCACTACTACAGGTTGTTTCGAAAGTTCGTTCCGATTTTTTATTCGCTTAAATTTCACTAATTATTAACAAAAAACCTTTTATAAAACTTAGTATGTTATTTATTATTCATTTAACATTGAATAACTAAAATATTAGTAAACAGAATGTCTTCTTGTATGTTTGCGGACATTTTCTAAGCGGTGAATGCGAGCGAGCGAGCGAGCTCCCAAAGCGTGTCCAAAGTCACATTCTTCCAGGCAAAGCGTAGTCACTGTCTTAGCTCGTCCAGTGTTTTGGGGGCTGGATCTTTGTATGTTGTCTCATCTACGATAATCCAGATGGTGTCTAGGGGGTTCAAGTCATGTGAGTTTGCCGGCGGGTCCTCCCTTGGTGTAAAGTTGGAAAACCCTTTTGAGACCCTCCTTGCATGAAGTGTACACCACCTTTTTCTCTTCAAGGCTTTCCAACTTTTTTTTGTTAATATTCCCCATACCGTTGTGCTCAAAACTTTGATCCATAATGTGAAGTTGGAATTTTTTTACCTTTCTGTTTCGTGGAATTATTAAACATATACTTGCAGCTTTTTCGATGATATTTCTGACACAGTTTGTGAAAAAACGGCCATCCACTCCTTGGTTTATCTTCTAAGGTCTTTACTTTTGACCACTTGTTCGGTCATCGTTCAGACTTCTTCAACAATTTGACATTTTTTTTTTGGGCTGAATGACCAGAATACCATAAAAATAGATGCCTGAGCTCTAGCACAAACAGTGCAAGCCATCATTTTCATGAAGGAGAAGAGAGAATAAAAGAAAACGTTAAAAATACCAAAACAGAAAACCAAAAAAAGTTTTATTTCCTAAAGGCGAGTTTCAGTAAAAACTTCGTGTAAATTGGTGACATAAATTTCCTTCCAACTGTAAACTTGCCCAATCGATTTTGTAACTCAAATTTCCCTCCGTTTTTACCCGCCATCCCTGAATATAAGCCCCTCCAAGGAAAAACCCTCAAAAAGGGCCCCTGGAAAAGATAAGCATCAGGGCTTACTTTCGGAATTTTAGGGTACTTTAGGAGTACATGTAGGAAGCCGCTCAGTCACAATCTACAAATCAGGTCACTTTCTCATCATTTGACAAACAAAAGAAACAGCTGTGCCTTAACCTTTTTTATGAAAGTGACGGTCGCTTTTAACAAGGCCCAACCTCGTTCCCAGGGTTCTCTCCTATGAGTCAATACACAGCGAGAGGTAGGACAGAGAACCTGGGAACAAGGTTGAACAAGGAAATGTGAGGCCATATATATAGTAATATCTTTAGGACAGTATGCAACACTTACTAGTATCTTGCAGTTAAAGGCAAATAGTTACCTCAGGTCCTTTTCCAGAATAGAGCAAGACTGCTTTTTTTTCTTATCAATGTCACTTGCTTCCAACCGCTTCCGCAACCGGGAACAAAGCCCCTTTACTGAATTTCTGTCCGCACATGAAAGCACCTTGATCACTCCATTGCCATTCCCCCTAGCTCAGCAGGTGTTGGGTGGGTGTCGATAATGAATTACTTGCCAGATCTACAGCCCATGACAACGACATGCCCACCACAAGTATACAGTGTTAAGCAGGGCTCTCTGTCGCCTCTCTGCAACCTTGCTACCGCATCCACTAATGCATGCCTACCCTGCAGAGAATAAAGTCCAAGTTACGAATTGAGGCACCATTCCTCAACAGCTGGTTGGCTTCTGAAGCATCATAAAATTTGTATAGATCTCCAAGATGGTTAAAGTTTCCTGGTGAGCTAACGATGATGTCCTCAACAGAAGCAGTTGTCTTCCTCCAACAATCTTCGGACAAGGGTGAGTTCTTGTCTCCATAAAGATGGTCAAAAATTAACAAGCAAAGAAATATTTCTTGTGGCTCTTTGAACTCTGTTCCTTCTAAAATGGCTGAGTGGTCATACTGAGCTACAGCAGTAGTTTGACTCACCTTTAGTGGAATAGCTCGGCACTGGGGCAAGAAGTGGTGGCCTGAAATACCTGATACATGTTGTGTGTGGGTTTCTCTTTTTGCAGAAATTTGCATTTGATCACTTGTCTCCAAGGAAGATGGGAGCCGGAGAGATCAGCGGAAAAAGGATGCTTGAGGTTTGGGTATCGTCTGCTGTTCTTGGTTGGAGTCCAGTCCGGAATAGTGTTTGTTTGACACCAAAATGTTGGCCGGCTTCAAGTCTCTGTGAGCGATGCCTTTTGCATTTAGATAGGTAATTCCGGAGGAAATGTCTCTCGCAATTTTCTTGTGAAAGGGAGACCCTTTGAAGCCGTCACATCTATCGACGAGAAGTATGTAATCATCTAACGAGTATGCAACTTCCAACGTGCCAAAGAGGGAGAAATCAAAACAAAGATTTTCCAACATAATAGCTGATGCCATTTGGCAAATGGCTTGAAATTGCACCACATTTTTGTGACTTAACCCTGCAGAGTCTTGGCCTCTTTAAGAAACAGTCTTTTGTCTTCTTCCTCCGTTCTTAGAAGCTTCTTTATAACAACCAAATCTCCCCTACCATCATCCTTGCTCGTTTGGGTATACTTGGCCAAAAAACCGGATCCAAATGAGCCCCTTCCAATCTCTTCCTTGTCATTAAGGTTTGCCCACTCAAAAGAAGGCAGATCCTGAAAAAATGGCGATAAATGTTCGCATTTCTGAACTTTTAGAGAGGGAAATTTGCAGCAGCCGGGGACAACTCTCTAGGTATAATTCCTATGCCACAACCTTTTTGCAGATCTTTGGTCGTTAATAAGGTGTCTTTTTTAGAGCAGTGCCAAACTTACATTTAACCTCTTGGCTAAAACGATGTGGTGCTGGCTTGCTGTGATTATGCTCTAAGTCAGCATCAGAAACGATTCCCATCCACCTCCGACCATCATCATTTGTAGGCCAAGCATATCTAGTTTGAGCTGGACACGGACCAGTCATTTTGAGTTTGTGCATCTTAGCATCCTTTACATCTGTTCTGGTTTTGGCGATTTGACACTGCATAAGTGCAATCTGGAAAACTGCATACTTTTATACCTTCACACGGTGCACGCCTCAAGGTGATCTCTGTGTTCTTTCCTTCTATTCCTATTTGACACTTTCTTGTTGTAGTGTGCCTCTTGGACAGTTGGTTATCGTTCCACATGAAATGCAGTCTTAGATGAGGGCCAAATCCTTTCATCTCCTTAATATTCTTGCAGTAAGCGATATCGTTCGAAGACTGCGAGAAACCTGGATATTGTGATCCTCTTTTTTTCATTTCAGACCATTTATCTGAGGAACTCAACGCATTTCGCATTTTGGGCAGGTGGTGAAGAGCTCTCCCCTCTTGATTTGCTTTTTTCTTGTTATCTGAAGGCGCCTTCTTCCTCTTTTCAAAAGGGTCGATAGAAAGGGGCAGAACGACCAGATCTGAAGGATCTTTGGTACACACTTTGAACTTTCTAGCTGTTGTGGAGAACTGTGGAGTCCTAATTATCTTAAAGTTCATTCCAGCTAATTTCAAACTAATCAGTTGATGTAGAGGTCTAGACCACTATTAATGGTTATTTCCGAGCTGTTCTCCTTTTCCAAAGGTAGAAGACTTGTCGATAGCCGTCTGGATTTCTGGTTTTGAAATGGAATCTCTTTTTGCACCAAGAAGGCACGAAACCAGGTTGTCTTCATTCACCCCTTCATTATTGGACAATATTTCCTATAAGTCCTTTATTGCTGTTAATAGTAATAAGGCAGGCTCTCTTGCATTAAAGTCTTCTTCCTGTTCATATCACACCTGCTACAACATTCGCCTTCTTTTTGGTCAAGGATGACCGTTGTGTCTTCGTATGATCGCCGAGTTTCTCTTAGACATGTCCCATTATAAACGCCATAAATCGATCTGAGGAATCCTCGTAGTTCTTCTTAATTCGTCCTACTTTATCGCTACTACAGCCCATAGTCCAATAGGTCAAGCATTTATCATCTCTATATTCGTTGAAAAAAAGGTGTCCATCAGCTTGTTCGCCTCCCGTTCCAGCTCTTCCATATTCTTGTATTAATATCCCCAGATTCCACATACAACCCAGTCGCACGACACTTTAAACGTGCGGACTGTGAGTTCCTACTTCACAGGACTCTGTAGCCACGAGTAGTGGGAAGTCTGTTCCTAAACTGACCATCCACTTCCATTTTTTCCTGAAGTGATAGGCCCCCATGGTAGGCTCTGGCATCAAGTGCACAACTTTCTTTCAGGCAGGTCAACATTAATTCTAAGTCTTTTTAAAGTCCATGTAAACAAGTCCATATTCGTCTGCTAAAAGATCGCTGATTTGTCTTGACGTGTCCATCCAAACTAATGATTTATCGCCCTTTACTGGTCTTTTTGTCTGGTACTTGCCAACATTAAGCTTTATGTCTGGTCTATCTACCGTTGATTTCATCAGCACCGGCTATCTAAGGTAGTATTCACAAAGGAGATTTAATTGTTCTTCGTTAAGAGTTGCTGTTAATGCCATGATTGGAATGCCAGGAAAGTCATCATGAAGAAACTTGAGCGTGTCATAGGATGACCTAAACTCACTGTTATTGTCAAATACTTTGTGAACTTCATATATGACAATGAGCTTTAATTGTTTTGATAAAGAAAGTCGGTGCTTTAACTTTGTGGCAAAATATTCTGGTGTAGTATATATTAGTGAATGTGAAGCTTCACTTGCGTCTTCTATGGTCAACATTTCAACTGGATGTTGTGGACCAACAATAGCGTTTATCCCGAACCCTTTCAAACTTTGGACTTGAGAGTGAATCAGTGATATCATCGGACAAATCACGAGTACTATCAAACACTGACAGAACTTGAAAACTTATGCTCTTTCCAATACCTGTCTTCTGAATAACGCCAACATCTTTCTTTGCCTCTATTGCACGTATTGCATCTAACTGGAATCTTTTAAATTACGTTAGTTGAAAAGTAGTTAAATGTCCTTTCAATAACAGCTCTCGCTCTCATTATGTGCAAGGCGTCCTGTAGGATATTCCCACAGCTTTGTGGAGAAGTCATTAAACTCTTGTTTCACTGTAATAACATCGGGTTTTTTGGGATGATAAGGGCTACTAATTGGACTTTCATGAATAACCTTTTGGCTGTTTTCGTAGCTGACTCGTCAGGTTCAGGTGCACTAGCTATCAAGTCATCATCTTCGTCATCAACGCTCCTAAATGTTCCGTCAAAATCTTCTGAGACACTTAGAAGTAAATGGTCATCGTCATTTCCACGGAGAAATATGTTATTTCTATATCATCAGCTTCTTGAAAAATTAGACGTATCAGTGACTCTCTTCCCTTGTCAGGACCAATGCTGCTGCTTATGCGCTTTTCCAGCCAATGTAAGACACACTCTCCTCCATTTTGTACGTTTCCATTACAATGCACCAGTCTAATTATTGCATTGCCATTTCCTCCTAGATCAAAGGAGATGCAATTGGTACCCATTATTAGAAATGTGTTGCCTACGAAGCCTACTACCAAGCTTACTGGGGTACAGGCGTATATGGCAATGGAAGGACTATCTGCAGATAATGCCAGAAGTGTGTTCCTTAGATGAGTTCTTTTATCTTCTCGGGATGTACACAACTGGTCCTGATCATCTCTAATAATAATAATAATAATAATAGTTTATTGACATCCCTCCCGCAGCCTAAAGGCTGAATTACAAGGAAGGTCAGTGACATTAACAGAAGACAATACAATACAAAAACAATCAAATAGATAATTATGTAAAAGATGATTAAAAGTACTACATAACAGAGAAAAATTAACAAGCACAGGATTACAACTGATCTTGAAACTTAACGGTTCAGAAATCTGCGAATCGCTTTGTCTTGGGGACAAGGCGCACTGGAACACGTTCGCCTGAACGGAGGCAGTATGGCCTGTCAATTGACACACAAGGAATTAATGTTGCATTGTGTCCATGCCGAATCAAATTCCTTTCTTTGAGGAGTTGTAGAGCCTCATCCATGTTAGAGTATTTATTTCCCTGTAATTGTTTATCTCTTCTGGGAGGGTTTGGATAGCGTTTTCGACTTGTTCTTTCAAATTTGTAGTATCATCAAGGAAACTTGGGTTGGAAAGAATGTCTACGTTTTTCACCGCGAGGAAGACACAAGCATCGGTTCCATCCAGATGTCGAACACTTGCCTCAAGTTCTTGTTTAACGTCTTCTGTAATTCCTTCTTGTTCTTAAAGGGCGGTGGCAAGTTCTCCTGCACTCTCTACAACAGTACCCTGATGAACATTGAGCAGAATATCTTTAATACTTACTCCTTCATAAACCCGTTCCTTGTATTTCTCAACAAACCGCTCTGATGGTCCCCTTTGGTTGTCATATTCTCTAATACTCGAGTAACAGTGGGAATGGGGGGGCTTATCAGGGTCTTGATGTAAAGATTTCTTTATTGTAATCAGCCAGTCGTGTTTAACATCCTCAGCAAGACCACTTAGCTTGCTGGGAGTAATTGTAGGTCTTTTGCCTTGCCGCACATGGTGGAAAGTTAGATCAGATGAAGACACCTCACCCTCCCAGGGATGGAACCGCTCTAGTAGTGTAAACTCGATCATCACCATGCCAATGCTGTACACATCACTAGGGAAATTTCTTTTGGTGCCAAGTTCGATTAACTCTGGTGCTGTATACGGCGCTGTTCCAACTTGGTTTCTTTCACTCAAACTTCCAAATGATACAAAACTGCTGTTTGGGTGTGCAAAAACTGACTGAAATCGAAATTGGCTTGCCATATTCACTAGCTTTACCACCCCTTATGAAAATGTTCGCTGCTTTGACATCGCAGTGAACAATTCATGTTTGTGAAGGTACTGCAGGCCAAATCAGGCTTTGTAAACGATATCCAATCGATGTGTCCGTGGTACATCTTCAAGTAGTTGCCATGCATTGTGGATTTACTCAATTTCTCCACCCCAAGCTGTACTTCTTTACACAAGAACTCGGTGACGAGCATTAACCTTTCAAAATCCGAACCAAAGTGCTGCAAAACATTGGAGTGTTTCAGCTTTACTGAGCATTTGACTTCCTTTTCCATCTGGTGTTTATATTTGTAAGTCATTTTTACCAAGTATTCGTTGCAAGCAGTGTCTAAACTAACGCTGTTCCTTTTCAGAGAGCCTTTGAACATTCTGCAAGTAACCCCAGAATCAAACGGGTTTTATCCAAAACAAGGTCTGTGCAGACAATGCATACACTTTCTGTTGCCCCTCCAGCGGGAAGCATAACATCGACTTGTTCTGGTTTTGTTCTTTACTCGTTGAGATGACAGTGTTTGTATTCCCAGAGCCCAGACAGCGTCAAACGAAGTCTAAAGGCTCCAGGAAGATTGTCATATTTTGAGTAAATCATATTGCACGTTTTTGGAGATTTTTTCGAGGCAGAGGCATTACAAGCTGGAAATCGTCTATCCATCCACTTTGCACTTTTAATTAGGTCATCAAATCTAGAAGCTGTCGTTAACACAGTCAAAACTGCAAGGCTTGTTTGGTTTTTGACGCACCTGTAATGTAAAAGAGAGGAATACACTAGACATGTTTTATTTCCTTTTGCCTAGTACCCTGTCTATAACCTTGACAAACATGAGCAAGAAGAGGTTTTAAAACCAATTCAGTGATGCGACATCCCTGAAATCATTTTGATCTGGATAGCGACAAGTATATTATGAATTAGACAACAAAACGTTTTTTAAATGCTAGCTCTTCTAAGTTCATCTCAGTAAACCTACCATGCGGGAGTTTATTTTTGCGGGAATTAAAGATTTTGTGTGTTTTGGGGGAACTAATTTTTGCGATTATGACAGATTAATATTTTCAATCAATAAACCAGTATTTCGTTGTATACCGTTTTGTTTCTGAATGAAAGAGACAAGTTGTGATTGAACAGACATGATTTCTTAGTACTGTATTTTTGTGTAGCAAATTTAAGTTAGAGATCTGCAATAAATTTTTGCGGGAAAAGTGTTTGTGGTAATTTTTGCAGATCGCTGGAAGAACCCTCAAAAATTTCGTGCCATATGGCATTTGATTTAGCATTTTACCTTTTCTTAGTGATTGACTATGGCCTGCTTCGGACATACTTGTGTATTTAGTGTTGGTAAGGAGCCTTTCCCAATGAAATTCTTTTTGACCCTACCTTCATGTTTTACAGCTAATAACTGTCGATGTCTTTTACCTTGGACATGGGTGGAAGTACTCATTGCCATCTGCGCCGTAGTTAAAAAAAAAAAGCAGCCAGGCTTTATAAATCAAATACAAATGCTTGAATTGAAATGTCTGGTGATTCATTGGGGTGGTTTCTTTGTTTCTTACTTCTTTTTGGTTTTCTCTCTCTTCCCTCGCTCCTATTTTTTTACTTTTCTTCGATTCAGAGTCATTGTAGAATGTGCCGAAACCGAGCAAGCAAAATGAAGGCTCGGCTGGCAGGGTGACATTACCATACCCAACTACAATTCTCAACTTAAATTTATATCAAATAAACAATAATAATAATGATAATAGGTTTTAAAGTTTTATGGGATTTCCATGGAGAGTGTGATAGGGTGGTTGAACCCGGCTAGAAAGCCGGACATCATCTTCGTTGATAAGCAGACAAAGGAGACTAAAATCATAGACACTGGCATCCCCGGAGATGCACTAGTAAAAGAGAAAGAACTGGACAAAATTGGGAAGTAGCAATTTCTCCAAGAAAGAGAGGAAATAGGAACGTTGTGGAAGCTAAAGAAAGTGACTGTTGTGCCAGTTGTGGTTGGGGCATTGGGACTGAGCTGTATCCGATATGTTTGAGAAATATGTGGGAAGGCTTAACGTTACCATCAGACTTGAGTTGATCCAGAAAGCGGCTATGTTGGGAATAGATGGACTATTACGGAAAGTTTTGGCTATCTAGGGACTCAAATGTAAAGACTCCTTTGGTACCTCTAGCTAGGAACTTGTTGCTTGCTTCCAAGCGTAATTTAATTACCAGCCTGAGATTGTACAATATGATAATAATAGCAATAAGAAGCAACTGCAACAAACATGTCAAATAAAAATAACGTGACCTAACGTACCTGAACTTGACAAAGCTTACAGTTTTCCACTTTAAATAGTCTTCAGATTCCTGTTAAAAGCAATGTACCAGTAATTTCAACACTAGACAGTCTTTTTTCCTGTT